ATTTTCTAAAACAGTTCAATTTTTTGCATTTAAATATTAACATAAATAATATTTTTTTGTGAATCATGATGAAAAATGACTTGATTTTATTGAAAGTATTCTTTTGAACAGATTTATTCTTAACTGGTGTTCCTTGTCAAACATTTTGATAAAAAGGGATTTTCTGAATGATTTCTCACATAGTTTTTAAATATAATCAATGTTAAGAATTTCATGAAATCTAACACTAATAATAATTTATATACAGTTTCTAAATTCACTTAATTACAATCTGGGTATGATATTTAGAATTATTCCACTTGTTTTGGATATTTGTCTCCTCCTTGTGAACTTAAGGGTAATTAGAAATACTTCCATTTGATACAATTAATGTTGACATCTAAACTATAGTTGATTGCAGATACTTGCAAAATTAGTTCAGGTAATTCAGTTATCATTTACCATTAGTAAATGTCTCATAGAAATTGGGATACAAATTGAGCATGTCTCTGTGAATCAAAATATTTAATTAAAGAATTTGTTTGTATTTAAGATTTATAAATCTTATATTACATATTAATCTCATATTGATGGGTGCATCTATCATAACAACATACCATAAGAAGCTGAAACTAAATGTGTGGTCGGCCAGCTCCGAGTTTCGTTCCCTAAACATTTGTTTGCTTGTTTGGTTATGGGCGGTGCAGTGCAGATGTAGCCCCTCAAATGTGGGATTGGTTAATGGTTATAAAGAAAAATAAATGTGCTAGACGTAAAAGGTCATATAGCACTATAGAAAGGTGTAGTGGTGAAAAGGCTAAAGAGAGGGGTTAGTAGATGATTGAATGTGCTACACATCAAAAGTTATATAGAAGTTCAGGATAGTATGGCACTGAAAGGGGCAAAGAGGGCTAAGGGTAGAGAGGATGAGTAATGGTAGGGATTAACAAGGGTGGTTATATCAGTTGTCAAAGGTGTGGGATTCTGCAAGGATGTCCTTAGGGTAAGGTAGGGATTAGCAAAGGAGAAAGGCCTCCCTCCTGACATTTCAGGAGAAAAGTCAGGAAGGAAAGAATTCTGGGAAGGGGAGTGTTGTGATAGTCACATGTGTGTCCAGGGGGAATTGGAAGGGATAATGGGAAAGGAAGGGGGGATGATGCTGATGAAGCAGGGTCAGAATAGGATGTGTTGGGTGAGGGTGGGAGGAAGGGGTGTAGGAAGGAATATGAGTTGGAGGAGGATGGATGTCACCAGTTACTTTGAGTGTAGAGTGAATGGAGCATAGAGAGATTGGGGGTTGGATGAGGAGTAGGCATGTTATCTTGGGTCATGATTAGATAGTTTTGAATGTCTTCAAGAGTTTCTGAAGTGGATTTGGTTGGGAGTAGAAGAGGAGATAGGCATCTGAGGGATAGAGGAAGAGGTAGGTTGAGGGGAGGGTGTGGTAGGAGATGATGGGGTGGAACATTTAGATTGTCTCCTATTGGTAGAGCAAGGAGGGAGGGGGGTAGGTGGCAGGGCAATGGAAGAGACTAAGGTCTGTGGATATAGACGTGTGGAAGAGGAAGTAGTGTTGAGAGAGGTGGACAATAAGGCTGCAGAGCAGTAATAAGGGAGGAAGGGGTAGTAGATGAAGGAAGCTGTGGGGATGGAGGAAATGAAGTAGAGGATGTTGGGGGAGGAAGAATGTTTTAAGAAGGTTGAGTAATGACCTGGGTGGATGCTTTGGGCTGAACTGAGGTGATAGTAGCTGTTAAGGAGGGGGTATAGTAGCAGAGTTGTGGTTAGAGAGACTGGGGTTGGGGAACCCTGAGAATTAAAGTCAGTCATGCTAGTTGATAAAGGTAGGATGGGGATTGATAGAAGGGCAAGGTTAACCCTATCCAGATGGGTCACGTGCACACACATCACAACAAACTGCTTGGTCTGTGGGGTACAATTGTACATGCAGGTGATGCACCAGAGTGTGTGCTACATGTAGCGGACTCCTATGCCCAAAGTCTGGATGTTGCCAGTTTATGAGAGATTTCTGATACCTGGCCCCATTGGGGTAAGGATGAAGGGTAATTAGATCAAGTGGAGAACAGGCTGTTAATTGAAAAGGTTAGGGATTCTGTGAGGATGTTTGACAGGTTGGGGGAGAGGACAAGTAGGAAAAGTAAGAAAATGGCCTTCAGTAAAGCAGGGGCAGGATAGTAGGATATGTGGGACTGAAAGAGAACATTGCCTGCGGATCATAAAGATGAGTTGGGGTGTGACAAGTGTGAATGCATGAGTCAGGTGTGATCCATTTGTTAAATGGGCAAGGGCTCTTGAGACTGTGGCTACCCCAGGCTGTTCATGACTGGCACAAAGTCAGTCTTTCATCCTTTCTATGTGGCTCTCACACCTTAGGAAGTGGATAGTAGAAGGGGTTGGAGAAGAGAAGGACGCGGAAAGGGAAGAAGAAAATACAGCGCAAAATTAATTGAGTCGAGGGATGAGCCCCAAGGTAGGGTGATCCCTGAGTCTCTGTCTCCTA